CTTGTTGACCGTGCTGTGTGTGTGTGTGTGTGTGTGTGTGTGTGTGTGTGTGTGTGTACATGTATGTACACTCTTTCATGGTGCATGTAAGTCTCGAAAATCTGCATTCAACCAGTCATCTGAAGATTGGTGTATGATTGGTCACCCATTTCTATCTGAAAGTTCTTAATGTATTCTCAACGATTGACTATTCCTAGAAGACTCTGGGGGCCACTGAACACAGAGCATCAGGGTTCGTTCCCTTTAAAAGAGAAGTCCTCGGGTGTTGGTACAAAGCACTCTTTCCTCTGACTTAACTCTGATGCTGGCTCACACCTGTAGGGGCAGGAAGGTGAGGACTGAGGACAAGTTAGCTTTGCTCAAAAACCACTTGCCAAAAAGTCCATTTGTTCCCATGTGAGCTCTGTCCACAAAGTCAGAAGAATGGTGTGACCGTTTTCATTATAAACAAATATTTTGCCCCCAGGTTCCTCATCGGGGTGGGGGCAGTCAGTTGTGTGTCCCTGAGGCTGGAGGGTTGTGAGAGTGAGGGGCGGGGGTGTCCTGTGTGTGTTCAGCAAATAACAGAGCTTTCGCTCTTTCCCAAGGGGAGAGCAGTGTTCTGAGAGCTTTTGTAGGCATCAGTCTCGGGGACTAATCCAAAAGTCATCTTAATTAAAAGTACACCTGGAGGACATAGGAAGAGCCGCCACTGTGTAGCTCAAGCTGTACATTCGTTTATTTATACAAGGAGGTTATTTGGATTTGTGTGAATATACAGGTATTTTCTCCTTTGTTGGTTACTAAGCATAGGAAAGGATGACAGACACTGAAATTTTGAGATGTGCCTCAGAGGCTAAAGGAGTGACCTGGAAATGCCAGAAGAGAACACTGGTCTGGCTGCACGGTGCTTCACTGCTTCGTGGTGCAGTTGGTCAAAATGTTAAGTGAGGTAGATGGCCCAACCACATGATTTTTATGTTGTCACTTAGCAGCACTTACATTAAGGAGTACAGCAAAGGCTGCGTGAAGACTGTCTCCTGTTCTTGATGTGAACGTTGGAGAAGGAAGGATGCCATCAGCTTCCGTACAGTCTGGCGGGGGGTGGTAATGTTTCTTGAAAACAGACATATTGACCCCCCCCCTTTTTTTTAATTGAAAAAAAGGAAACCACTTAATCCACCTAAAGCACAAGACACAATGATCCTGGTCACAGGGTAAGGAGAGATGTCTTTCACAGAGAACGCTGAAACGGCAAGTTTGACCCGGAAGTCCTTTGTCTAAGAAACTGTCCTAGGTTTGTTCATTGTTCATTTGCTCTTGGTCATATTCATGTATGAAGTGTGTCATTTTGGAACTTTTAAAAGCTACTCATTTGTCATGGCAAATTGACAGATCCAAGAAATAAAGCCTCTTTCTAGAATATCTACTTTATTTTGCTAACAACTCTAAGAGAAAACTAAGATACCAAACC